GTTTGACTGATGCTCCAAGGACAAGGTGGAAAGGAAGGGTTGAGTGGAGAAGGGGAAGGACGACCCAGACAGAGGGTGTAGCATGTGCAAAGGCAAAGAGGTAGAATCCATGTCCTGGAACCATTAGCAGTTGGATAAGGTTCTACTATGAAACAGAATAGTAGGCAAAGACTGGTAAACAAGGCTGGAGGTGTGGCCGGAGTTTATTTGAAATTCAATGATCCAGTACTGTCAAATGAATAAAGGTCAAGGAGCCACCCTGGGAGCCTGTGGTAAGGATTTTGGTGATAAGGAAATTGAAAAATACTTTGCCTTTGAGTAGTCAATCCCAAAGCACTTCTCCCACATTGAAATCACAATTCACTGACACCATATTGCTTTAGACAGCCAAGATCTCACAGGCCACAGTGTGTGGAAAACCTGGGACATGAACTCTGTTTGTTTGTTTTCTTGCTTGTTTTAATATAAGTATACTTGACAAACTATATCACATTAGTTTTAGGTGCACAACATAATGATTCGACAACTCTCTACATTACCCTGTGTCCACCACAGGTGTAACTACCATCTGTCACCATGCAAAGCTCTTATAACACCATTGACTATATTCCCTGTGCTGTACCGTTTGTCCCCATGACTTACTCATAACTGGAAGGCTGTACCTCCCACTTCCCTTTACCCATTTTGCTCATGCCCTTACAGCCCACTCCTCTGACAACCACCACTTTGTTCTCTGTATTTATGGTATTTCTGTCTGTTTTGTTTTGTTTGTTTCAGGCACCTTGGCCAGTGTTCTTTCCCCTAAACCAAAGTGGGAGGAAGGAACAGCACGGGTTGGAGTCTGGAGCTTCAGGTTCCTAAACAGCTCATCCCACTTCATCCTTGGAGCCCCCTCTTTTGTAATAAAAGTATCCCAAAGGTGCAATTGGACCTAAGTCAGCCAGTTATACCACAAGCAGTCTAGTGTATAGAAGGCACACTGGGGGAGGAGTCAGAAAAGCCAGTGTCTACTCTGAACTAACTGGCAGTGGGTCCTTACATAAGAATCTTTCCTCTCTGGGCCTCCGTTTCTCCACCTGTAAATAAGTATATGGAGTTTGGGGATGGCTTGGGAGTTCTAGTTCAAACTGTCAGTGAATCTCAGCCTGCTTCAGTGGGCAAAGAGAAGATGAAAGAACTGAGCAGATGGTGGTGGGCACCCTTCCGGATCCCCTGAGAAACACAGAAGTCTCACCTGTGCCTTCTCTCAGTCTCTCTTTCTCTCCCTGCTTTTCACTCTACTCTATGGGTATGTCTGTGTGTCTGTTTCTCGGTCTCTTTCTCTTTCTCTCCTTTCTCCCCACCCTTCTCCACATCAGGGGCCGCCACTTTCTTCCTCTCACAAAGAGCCCCTCCAAGCCCTGCCTGGTCCCCTAACAGCTTTCAGATGTGTCTCTGGAACAGTTCTACAATTACAGCTGAGACGGGCAGAAAGTGCTTGGCCTTGTGACTTTTGACCCAGGCCTGTGAGGTTGACATCTTCCTCTTTCTCCACCCCTCCACCCCCCACTGGCAGGGTGGCCTGAGGCTTCCTCCATCCTGAGGCCTCCACTGACATGTTTGGTTACCCTAATAACACAAATAGAAGCTACCTTTTAGGAGCAAAGACTGAGCCAGGCCTGTTCCATCATTGAGTCTTGATCTCAAACTTGTGAGAGATAGAGAATTTCACCAGAGAATACTCAGCCAACAATTGGGGAAAACAAGGATTCCACCCAGGTTTTTGTAACTTAAAAATGTAAGACTGCTTCTTCCCCAGCATGCTGTTATTCATGCTGCTTGGCTAAGCAGAGGGGTGACCCTGGACCCTCTTGGTGGAGGAAATATATTGCAGAAATACCATGGAAACATAAGTGGCCAATGGGAAAGCAGTGTTTAAAATTTTTTTCCAACTCCTCATGTTTTGAGGCTAATTCACATATTCCATTCACTATGCCCTTCTGTGTTTCCCTCAGTTGGAATGAATCTCCTCTTCCCCAAGAAAGCATTTTTTAAAGGTATACTCTTGCACAAATAAGTGCTCTTTACATGGTCTTTATGAAAATCTGCAGCAGGGCGCCTGGGTGGCTGAGTGGGTTAAGTGTCCAACTCTTGATATCAGTTCAGGTCGTGATCTCACAGTTGTAAGATCGGGCTCCGCACTGGGTGTGGAGCCTGCTTAAGATTCTCTCTCTCCCTCTGCCCCTCCCCCCCCTCAAAAAAATCTGCAGCTTACAAGTCACCTCTCATGTATCACTCTATGTAATATTTGAGATAATCATACATTATCTCTACAATTATCCCCATTTTGTTGTAGAAAATGTAGAAACTGAAATTAAGGAATTATATGTGGGGGGCACCTGGCTAGCTCAGTTGGTTAAGCATCTGACTTGGTTTCAGCTCAGGTCATAATCTCATGGTTTGTGAGTTCAAGCCCTACATCGGGCTCTATGCTGACAGTGCAGAGCCTATTTGGGATTTTCTCTTGATCTCTCTGTACCCCAATGTTTATAGCAGCACTTTCAACAATAGCCAAAATATGGAAAGAGCCTAAATGTCCATCAACTGATGAATGGATAAAGAAATTGTGGTTTATATACACAATGGAATACTACTTGGCAATGAGAAAGAATGAAATATGGCCATTTGAGGCAACATGAAGATGTGGTTTATATATACAATGGAATGCTACTTGGCAATGAGAAAGAATGAAATCTGGCCATTTGTAGCAACGTGGATGGAACTGGAGATTGTTATGCTATGTGAAATAAGTCATACAGAGAAAGACAGATACCATATATTTTCATTCTTATGTGGATCCTGAGAAACTTAACAGAAGACCATGGGGGAGGGGAAGGGGAAAAAAAGTTAGGGAGAGAGCCAAACCATAAGAGACTCTTAAAAACTGAGAATAAACTGAGGGTTGATGGGGGTGGGAGGGAGGGGAGGGTGGGTGACGGGCATGGAGGAGGGCACATGTTGGGATGAGCACTGGGTGTTGTATGGAAATCAATTTGGCAACAAATTTCATATTAAAAAAATAGTAATTATCAAAATAATAAATTAATTAATTAAGCAAACTAAAAGAAAAAAAGATGTGGTATGCTCAGGTTCATTTATTTACTCAAATATTTACTGGGTGCCTATCATATATACCCAGTACTGTTAAATGCCAGGGATATCGTTGTACTCAAACCGACATATACACCCTCTGGGAGCTACAGGCTAGGGTTTGGATCCTGCCTCTGCCACTTTCTAGATGGGTTGTTGTGTGGGTAGTAACTGCTTACACAGTGGTACCCAATACTGTCCTTACCTTCCTACTTTGCCACTTGCTTATTCTCGTATCCTAGAGTTTCCTTGTGATCTTCCTTCTAACTCCTCTGCAAGGCTTCTCAATCATTACTCACCTCAAGTAGCACTTAACATTTTATGTTTATTCACACTGACCCACGAAGTGGGCAGTGGCCTCCTTAACAGAGATGCGTGATACAGAGAGATGAAGTGAGCACAGAGAAGGGAAGTGACTTGACCAAGGTCACAGAGCAAGGAAGTAGAGTGGAATGTGAACCTAAACCTGGCCATCTCCAGGACCAGGCTCTTCCCTCTGTCACCACTGCTTCTCTCTTTTATTTTTTTAATTTTGTTTTCATGTTTATTTATTTATTTTTAGAGAGATAACATGAGCAGGAAAAGGGCAGGGAGAGAAGAAGAGAGAGAACCCCAAGCAGGCTCCATGCTGCCCGTGCAGAGCCAGATGCAGGGCTTGATCCCATCTTGCATGAGCTGTGACCATGAGTCTGACGTTTAACCCACTGAGCCACCCAGGCTCCCCACCACTGTTTCTCTTGACCTAAATGGTACTGGATGTAGTAAGCCGTAGAACTGAGCTCCACTCATGATGCGGAGATACAACAGGAGGAGAGAGAGAATGCCCACATCACAGTGCTATTGTTCTTATACCAAAGGCGGAAGCCCAAATCCCCAGAAAGCAGATGAATAGATTAGGTTCTTTTTGAAGATGGGGCCCAAATACCCCATGTTTAGGCCTCTTAAGACTTATGTTTTAGGTATTAGCCCACACTTCCTTACCTTTGCCAGCACTCCGAGCCAGCTAATGAAAGATAAAAGGTAGAGTTAGATTTGGCAGTGTGGATAAGAACATAATCTTTGTTTTGATTTTGCTTTTTAGAGCGAGCAAGTGAGGAAGAGGGAAAGATGGGAGAGAGGGAGAGAGAGAATCTTAAGCAGGCTTCACCCTCAGCGTGGAGCCTGATGTGGGGCTCGATCCCAGGACCCTGAGATCACAACCTAAGACAAAATCAAGAGTTGGACGCTCAACCGACTGGGCCATGCAGGTGTCCCAAGAATTTAATCTTTGGATTCAGGCAGACCTAAGTTGTGGTCCCCTGTTGCTACTTACTTAATATGTAATAATAGGACAATTACTTGACCTCTTTGGGACCAATGTCCTTATTGATAAAACACAGCCATAATACCTAGCTTAGGTAGTGTCTGAATAAAATGACTGCTAGCACATTGTTAGTGCTCAGTAAGTTTGTTCACTGCATGAATGAAAGAACATAGATGAGTATTCTAGCCATCCAAGACACCACTAGGGTTCACTTCTGAAGTCCCGGACTCAGACTGTTCTGTCCCCAAATAACTACGAGACCACAGGAAGATATAAAATCTAAGCTTCAGTTTCTTCATTGGTGAAGTTCAGGTGATAATAATCCCTGCCTTCTAGGTTTGCTTACTTGTAAAATAGGAGTAAGTACAGGGTGCCCTGCAGATGATTGGTGCCCAATAAATGCTATATGGTTGCTATTTTTTTCCCCAAATCATTTCTCTTACAGGCTAAGCCTCCCTGACTTCTATTGACCATTACCCCTGTACTATGATTTTGTGTTCCTCCTTACACCTTCCAGGGTCTTCCCTGAAGTCACAACCCAGTGCTCTGTTTTCTTGCTGTGCTACAGGTTCACTTTGTATGCCGTGGATACACGGGGGAGGCACTCGGAACTCAGCACAGTGACCTTGAGAACGGCCTGTCCACTGGTGGATGACAACAAAGCAGAAGGTAGGTGACCAATCTCTTCACTTCCCAGGTAATTCCCATATTTCCTTTAAGTTCTGTACCCAGAAGTTAACCACCACCCCTTTCCTGCCACATATACGTATTTGCACAGAAAGAAAAAAAGGGGACAGGAGGAACACGGAAGTAAATTAAGTAAAGCCTAAAGGAAATTGAGATTGTCCAGCAGTATCTTAGCCAGTGGAGAGACTTGTTCCTCTTTCATAGAATTTGTCTGTGTTCTGGTTTAGAGGCAAGGATGGTAGACAGTCAGGGCCCCATGACTGTATCCTGCCCCTTAGCCTAGGCTTTGGGAGACCAGTCACTTTTTTCCATTTCGGTCTGTGCCAGAGCTGGCGTATCAGTGACAGTAGAAGATGACTCAACCTACTATCATTAGGTCCTCATAGCACATATTCCCATCTAGCCCAGATGGGTGGCCTCAGAATCCTCAGCCTAGAGCTGAAGTCAGTGACTATCAGTGAGAGCTAGCATGCAAGATTGGACCTTTCTGCTGCTCCTGGTCCCTGAAGTTGTAAACTTCAGGCAAAACACCTAAAAAAGTCGAACCAGTCGGTCACATCCACCACATACTTAGTTCTTCACCAACATATAGGTATGGTTTCTACATCAGGACTGGCCAGAGTGTAATTGTGGCTTGTGAGTCCTGGTGGTTCACTTCAGGTTGAGCAAATATTTCCTAAGAGCGCTGGTACACAAGTGATGCTCTACACCTTTTAGGAGTTCACATTCTAGGGAGAGAGAGAGACAGACAGACAGACATGTCTACACATGGCTGAATAATCCGAATAATAAGCACTTTGTGTGGTATCAGACAAGACAAGATAGTCCTCCTATTGAAGAGCTATTGAATCTCAAAAGTGAGGGGGTTTGAGATGGTTTCCTGGTCATTTATTGTTATTGTTATTATTTTAAAATAACATATGCATGGGGTTAAAAAGAAAGAAAGAAAAATTAAAACCAGGGTGGAAATAATCAGAAGTAAATGTCTCATCTTAATGAGGGGGTTTGAGATGGTTTCCTGGTCATTTATTGTTATTGTTATTATTATTATTTTAAAATAACATATGCATGGGGTTAAAAAGAAAGAAAGAAAAATTAAAACCAGGGTGGAAATAATGAGAAGTAAATGTCTCATCTTAACGCAAGTTTCCAAGATTCTTCTAGAGGCAATTGCCATTAGTGATGACTTGGGGGGACATACATAAATTTTGGTCAGAGTCTTCAAACATGAAAGAGTGGTCCTTCCATTCAAGAGAGCAGCCCATGATGACTTCAAGTTACATCAATTGAATAGGAATGACTAAAGAAATAGAAATTGCTGTGAATGGCCAGCAGAAGAGTCTGATTTTTCTTTGAAAGATTAAAAAAAATTTTTTTTAATGTTTAGGTTTTTTTTTAGAGCGATAGAGACAGACAGCACAAGTCAGGGAGGGGCAGAGAGAGAGAGGGAGACACAGAATCTGTACCAGGCTCCAGGCTCTGAGCTGTCAGCACAGAGCCTGATGCAGGGCTCGAACCCATGAGCTGCAAGATCATGACCTGAGCTCAAGTCGGATGGTTATCTGACAGAGCCATCCAGGTGCCCCTCTTTGAAAGATTTTTGAATGGACACCTGTTAGACCTGATCATGGAGCTGTGTTGGAAATATTATAAAGGGGATGTAGAAGTAGACTGCTGAGATGAGCCCGTGACAGTTGATTTAAGCCTCTGTACTTGTTTGGAATTTTCTGTTCAATCATGGGCACCAAATGGTTGTTGACAATGAAGCTGGCAAATTATGACCCCGTGTCGAATGCTTTACATTCACTTTTTAATTCCACCCTCCCAGCACACCTGCAGAGTAGACATCCTTATCTCCAGTTGATAGATGGGAAAACTGAGCATAACTAGCCAATGATATTCAAGGTGGACTGAAGGTCTGTCTGCCCCCAAATACCATGCATGCAAAGTCCTGCACAAATGTGCCTCCCTTGTTGCAAGGCATGTTTCCATGCTCACTTTTTCCTGCTGTCCAGTGATCTGTGCCTATATTTCTCCCCACCTCAGAGATAGCAGACAAGATCTACAATCTGTACAATGGGTACACAAGTGGAAAGGAGCAGCAGACTGCCTACAACACGCTGATGGAGGTCTCAGCCTCGATGTTGTTCCGAGTACAGCACCACTACAATTCTCACTATGAGAAGTTTGGTGACTTTGTCTGGAGGAGTGAGGACGAGCTGGGGCCCAGGTACGGATGGCTGTGTGAGTATGAGTGGAGTGGTAGATTCCTCTTACTACTGTGTGATTTTACTGGACCTTTTTTTTTTCCCCCATAGGCTAAGAATGGGCTTTGTCAAATAAATAAGGGTATCATTCACTTTTGTCCTGTCAGGATTAGAGATGGGAAATGGGCAGGGAGAATGACAGAATCTTGGAATTTTTGTTTCTTGGACTCCTGGAATATCAGATAGGAGAGAGACATTACTGTCCTTTCCATCATTCGCTTTCCTCACCCACCTTCCACCTTCAGGGTTAGAGACAGGAACCATGGACTCCAGGAGGCTTATGTGTCCTAACCAGGATGATAGAAGGGCATAGTGGCAGACTCATGGCCTCTAATCTAGGGCTCTCCCCACTCTTCCATAAGAAGCCTGAGGTTTTCTAGAATAAGTCCAGTAGTGACCATTACTAAATACATTTCTATATTCAATGTGTATTAAGCCATGACTTCTGTCATCGGCAGTGACTATGCCAGCCACTGGTGCTAGATGCCATGGGGGATTCAAACATCACAAAGGCACAGTCCCTATCTTGTGAAGCTTCGTTCACAAAGTAGTATATGAAATGGTGGCTGCATTTCATGCCTTGCGCCTAACAACATTCACTTATTCGTTCACTCATCACTTACTTTTAATAGCACCTCTTACGAGTTGGTTATTGACCATGCAGTAATAAAAGGAGAGAAACTCACTGTTGGAGGTAATTAAGCATTTAAGCAATTGAAAGAATATGAATAAATAAAAGAGATAACAGAATAGGGTCCTTTGGGAAGGTGAGAGATAGACATCTGATCTAGGTAACCTAGTGAAGGCTTCCCAAGTGCTGAGACTAAGACCCACAGGGTGAAGAGGGTCAGACTAGAGGAAAGGGAGGAGGATTGGAGGGTGTGGGGCATTGTGACTAGCCTAGGGAATGCACAGAGGAGATAATGTTACATCAGGGCAGGGTTTTCCTCAAATTTTCATCACATGCCTGCCACTTGTATGAGTTTCGACATATCGCCATACTGTAAGCACTTATTTTGTTTTGTTTTGGTATCTTAGATTCACTTCTCATTGATAATATATTTGAAAACACCGTATCATTTTGCAAAGGGAAAATGGGCACCAACTACCCTTAATAGAAAATTAAATGTAGGGGCGCCTGGGTGGCTCAGTTGGTTAAGCATCTGACTTCGGCTCACGTCATGATCTCGTGGGTTGTGAGTTCAAGCCCTATGTTGGGCTCGGTGCTGACAGCTCAGAGCCTGGAGCCTGCTTAGGATTCTGAGTCTCTCTCTCTCTTGCTCTCTCTCAAAAAAAATAAAGATTTTTTAAAAATTATAATAAAAAAAAGAAAATTAAATGTAAACATTTGATACAAGGGAAGAGAAAAAAGAAAAAAAAAAAAACAAAAACAGAAAACAATGCTATTCAATCCTAGTGGAGCCTGACACTCTGAGTTTAAAAAGGAGATTAGCAAGTGTTAGAGAAGTACTAAAGACACAGTCTCAAACCAAGACTTTCTTTTTTAAAGTAATCTGGAGGAGGGGAAGAGAATGAAAAAGAGAATCTAACTGCTTTTCCCAGTGTGATTCATTGTTGTTTAATGCTGTGTCTGTGATCGTCTTGAGTACCACCTCAAACCCTTTCTCCTTCCCCAGGGGAACTCCTTCTACACTTGGTAAACACTGTGTGTAGAGGAACTGAGAGAGTTTCCCTGTAGTTGAAGCAAAGTGTGTGACAGCAGGAGTGGGAAGGGATAAGAAGGGAGAGGTCAGCAGGGGCCAGTCCTGAATGCCCTTTAAGTAGGGTTAAAGAGTTTGGATTATCTCCCCAGGGTAATGAGAAGCTTTTCAAGTGTTTTTCAGAAGGGGGTGATATTAGCTGATCTTCAGGGAAGAAAGATGCCTCTGACTTGCTGTTGGAAACATGGAGAGGGGTCAAGACAGGAGGGAGGTAGTGAGGCTCTGGAGGCCGTTGTTATAATAATCCAGGGGAGACAGTGTGGTGTTCTGGGGCAGGGTGGTACTGGTGGCATTGGAGAGCATCACCTGACCTCCTGAAATACTTAGTTGGTAGCACTCTATGCTTTAAAAAGTTTTAAAATTACCCGGGTAAGCTGGGCAAAGTAGGGTATTCTCATGTTGTGGATGATAAGGAATTGGAGGCCCTGTGAGGTCAAGTGAACTGCCCATAGTTGCACAGAGTTTTATATGGAGGCTGATTCTGCCCTGAGCTCTTACCCTGAGCCCTTATAACACTTGAAATAACCCTCCAAGGATTTGAGGCCCTCAAGGGAACAGATGAGAGCTGGGATCTCTCCCTGGAATAGACGTTATCTGCCCATTGGGTCCTGGACTATAACTTTCTCTCTTTCACATGAAAGGAAGTTTCTTTAGATAAAAGCTAAAAGAGAGTAGACAGGCAGAAGCCCAGAGCCTCAGATGAAAGCCACTGTGTGAGTCATCTGGGCTGCCATCTTGCCCATGGTCAGGGAAAGGCATCCCACTTTATTGGCCTTTCCCACAGGGCTCAGAGAGTTTGGGTGGAAGGTAAACCAGAGCTCCACTCCTGACTTTGTCTTTATGACCTTCTGGGATCCTTTATGGCCCTCAAGGACATAAATCTTCTGGAGAGGCTGCCTGGCCGCCCACAGAGGTAGGACAACCCACTTGGTAATGGGCTCTGATAACCCCCCTAACCTCCAGCCAACCGGTCACCAGTCACTGTCCACCAGCCCCCGTTGGTATCACCCAGTTTCCTCACTCTTCAGTATTTCTAGTCTCTGGAGGGAATATGAGATTCCTTTAACATCCCACACTGGCATGTCCACAGGAACCAAGATAGCTGCATCCTAATCTATCCTGACAGTGCTAATGAACTCAGTGTACAACCTTGGGTTCTGGCTTTCTCTGGCTTTCAGTCTCCTCATCTATAAAATGATCAGGATGAACTAGGGCAGTGGTGCTCCTTCTTTTAAGCAGTAGAAAATTTTTTTTCTAAACAGATCTTATGTAGACCCCATGTCTCAACTAGAATGCTTCTTCCTCAGAGAATCCTCTAAGATTTCTACATATCTTCTCAGTCACATGCTCATGTTTGAATTTTCTGTATCATACCTATTAGCTTTGGTATCTTATATTGCTTATGTGTTTACTCTTGTGTTATCTCTCTTCTGTACTACTATGGCAGCTTATGTGTGTTTAGTGATTCTTTATGTCCTACTCACTCTTGTAAGTGGGTGCTAAATTCACTTGTTAAATAACTGGATAATGTGTGGCTCAGATGGTTACACAGTTGTTCTGGTAGAAACTAGAGAGGGTGGTCTGGAGCTCCACCTGCTAGGTCTCCCTTTCAGACCCCCTTCCCCCAATCCCGAGGGACTCTTAAGTCTCTGTGAGCTATCAAAGATCTATAGGTCACTGTTGGTAACAACTAAATTCCATGAACCCTAAGGTCTCTCCAGCTCAAAAGTAGCAATAAAAAAAATGCATTGTGCTTGCAAATATTAAGAGACCTGTGGAGACCACATTTCATTAATTTACTTATTCGTTGATTCACTTAATGTGCTTACTATGTACCAGGCTCTGTGCTATGGGCTGGAAATATATGAGTGAAGAAGACAGATCCTGCCTTAGAAGGAGCAGCATCTAGTGAGCAAAAGTCTGTAGGTAGTTGCAGTGAAGCATGTTACAAGAAGCATGCTGTAAAAAGGAGGGTGAGAAGCTGGTTTACTGCAGTGTTTCTCAAACTTTAATGGGCATGAGAATCCCGTGAAAGCCTTGCTAAAATTCAAATAGACTTAGTGGCTTAGGATGGGCCTGAGATTCTGCATTTCTAATAAGCTCTCAGGTGTGATGCCAGTGTTGCTCGTCCCAAAAGTACACTTTGAGTGACAGGGTTCTAGATGTGAACAGCTGGCACAGCTAACCCAGACCTGGACCTCAAACAAGAATCCTTGGAGAAGACAGTGAAGTCTGTGCTTAGCATCAACGGAGTCCTCCCATGGATGTTTTCATCAGAAGGAACAACCAATGCAAAGATGAGTTGGGGGATGGTAATTAAGAGGATACACTTAAGAAGTATAATTCTCATTGGGACAGAGAGTTCAAGGTGAGAGGGGGAAAAAGAAAACAAGGCTGGTGAGTTCAGCAGAGGGCAGATCATGATGGCTCCTGTGAGCTCTGTCCAGGAGTGTGTTCTTTCCCCCAAAAAGCCAGGTAAATGTTTTAAACAGAGGAACAATTTGGGTAAATGTTCCATGACTCCGAAGGGTTCGCAAGTGTGCAGAGTATCAAAGTGTAAAGGAGAGAGAGAGAGAGCAAGACACTGCCCTGGAGCCAGGAGCCTTGGGTTCCTGTCCTAGGTTTGCCACCCACTAGCTGCATGACCTTGGAAAACCTCCATTCCCGTTCTGGACCTCATTTGTAATGTAAAAGAGCTGGACTCCAAAGTCCCTTCCAGCTGGGAAGCGAAGAAACCAGAAAGCCCTCAAGGTCATAAAGACCAGAGAACAGGGACACCTTGACTGTCCTTTAGTCCAGCATGTCCTGTTTCTCAGGGACCTAGGTGGCCAGGGTGTTAAGAGCACTTCCCAGAACCACCGATACCATGGAATAAACTCTATCAGGAATCACCAAACCCCCAAATGTTCCATACTTCTCCTTAAAACTATAGTCATATACCCCCATAAAATTTGGCGACAAATTGGGCATCTCTTATCTCTGCCTAATAAATCTATCAGGCCATTGTCCTCCAGAGCCTGGCTCCTGTGGCAGCCATGGGTGCCACAAACAGCTACTCAGAGAAAACCTGCTGACACCCAGCGGGCCCAGCCATACGGTTTCTGTTAGACATGAGAAACTGAGCTCATAGGTGGCTAAGGACCAGAATTTGCTCCAATAGAATATACTTGACCACTCTTGGGCTTCTCGATGATCCTCTCAGCCACGTATGGCTGAAATGACAGAATAGGAAGAAGAGAGAA